TCTTTTTCTTAAAAATAGTGTTTTTCTCGAGTTTTTTTCACCTGTCGAGTCTTTTCTCTCTCGAGTCTTTGTTCCTCGAGAGGTGGTTTTCGCACGAGTTTTTCTTTCTCAAGAATAGTGTTTTTCTCGAGTTTTTTTACCTCTCGAGACTTTTTTCCTCGAGAGGTGGTTTTTGCACGAGTCTTTCTTTCTCAAGAATGTTTTTTTCGGGTTTTTTCACCTCGAGTCTTTTTTCCTCGAGAGGTGGTTATCCCACAAGTCTTTTTTTCTCAAGAATTGTGTTTTTATCGAGTTTTTTCTTTTGAGTCTTTTTTCCTCGAGAGGTGGTTTTCGTACGAGTCTTTTTTTTCTCAAGAATTATGTTTTTCTCGAGTTTTTTTCACCTCTCGAGTCTTTTTTTTTCTCGAGTATTTTTTCATCGAGAGGTAGTTTTCGTACGAGTCTTTTTTTCTCAAGAATAGTGTTTTTTTTTTAAATTTTTTCACCTCTCGAGTTTTTTTTTCTCGAGAGGTGGTTTTTGCACGAGTCTTTCTTTCTCAAGAATAATGTTTTTCTCGAGTTTTTTCACCTCTCGAATATTTTTTCTCTCGAGTCTTTTTTCCTTGAGAGGTGGTTTTCGCACGAGTATTTTTTCTCAAGAATAGTGTTTTTCTCGAGTTTTTTTACCTCTCGAGTCTTCTTTCTCTCGAGTCTTTTTTCCTCGATAGGTGGTTTTAGCATGAGTCTCTTTTTCTTAATAGTGTTTTTCTCGAGTTTTTTTCATCTCTCGAGTCTTTTTCCTCGAGAATTGTGTTTTTATCGAGTTTTTTCTCCTCTCGAGTCTTTTGTCTCTCGAGTCTTTTTTCCTCGACAGGTGATTTTCGCACGAGTTTTTCTTTCTCAAGAATGTTTTTTTCGGGTTTTTTCACCTCGGGTCTTTTTTCCTCGAGAGGTGGTTTTCCCACGAGTCTTTTTTTCCCAAGAATTGGGTTTTTATCGAGTTTTTTCTCCTTTTGATTCTTTTTTCCTCGAGAGGTGGTTTTCGTACGAGCCTTTTTTTCTTAAGAATAGTGTTTTTTTTTTTAATTTTTTCACCTCTCGAGTCATTTTTCTCTCGAGTCTTTTTTCCTCGAGAGGTGGTTTTTGCACGAGTCCTTCTTTCTCAAGAATAGTGTTTTTCTCGAGGTTTTTCACCTCTCGAGCCTTTTTTCTCTCGAGTCTTTTTTCCTCGAGAGGTGGTTTTCGCACGAGTATTTTTTTCTTAAGAATAGTGTTTTTTCGAGTTTTTTTACCTCTCGAGTCTTTTTTCTTCGAGAGGTGGTTTTCGCACGAGTCTCTTACTCAAAAGCTGTTTTTAACTGGCGAAAGGTGGTACCTGGAATGATCCCATATAAATTTGGTCAAGAATTAAACTCTTCATTTTGAAGTTTTTTTTTTTAATTTCTTGTTTTCTTACTAAACAACTATACACTTTCCTAATTTCAACATTTCTGTTATTGTTCAGTTACCGGTATTTGCAAAAATTGTTTAATCCGTTTTAAAAAAAGAGAACTCAACGTAAAATACCTGTATAACAGTAATCAATGAGAGTTATAGTAATTGGATTTGGTCCAAAACACGTCTAAATGTATTCTCCTAATGGCCGAAACACAGCCAATTAACACACACCTTGTTGCCCGATAAAAAATCTTATTTCGGTTGAACTACATTATAGATAATCCGATTTGTGCAATTAACTAGAGATAGTAAACAACAATAAACAGATTAGGATCCACCAACCTATACAATTAGACACCCGTATCTAGTAATAATTAGATTTATATTCAGAAGTGATATCAGAAGTGGCTGTCAGTATCTAAGAATAAACGTAAAATTCAAAAAAATAATATACTTGAGTATACAAAAAAGATTCCAGTTGCTGGTAACAAAAAAAAATTAAAAAATTAAATTGAAAAAATTATGCCTTTGTTTTATAAACATTTTTTTGAGTTTGGATTTGAAAATTAAATAAAATGCTGACTAATAATTTTTTTTTTATTTTTCCTGTTTGATTACCATGGGAAATTTAAGTTTACCCAGTTTTGAAAAAAGTTTAGTCAAAATGGCGCCCTATACACTCCATTCCATACACACTAAGTAATCGTTTTTCTGAAATGCACTCTTTGAAGTATTGCTACAGGAATTTGGCTCGAATGTTCTTTTAAAAGGCTTATAGGATCCTGGGACGATCGCTGTAAATCAATTTTAGGTATTACCACAGGGAAAAATCACAAGGAGTCAAATCAGAAGGTGCTGGTTCATATCACCTCTTATTGTGGCACCCGGGGATCGGTTTTGCAAAAATTCAATGCAAACCCTTGGTGTGTGGGCTGTGGTTCCATCCAGCTGAAACCAGACGTTTTTCTACTCCATCCCTTACAACTGAGACAAGAAAAAAATACTGGTTCATAGTCAGGTAACGTACAAAAGTTACTGTAACCACTCGATAAATTTTTTTCAAAAAAGTAAATGCTAATAATCCCAATTATTAAAATTGCACACTATATTTTCACCCTGTCCGAGTGCAGAGACCTCTGGTGGAGCTTCCTGAGATTCGTATCACTCCAATATCGCATATTCTATTTATTGACACATCCATCCACTGAGGTAAAAGTGTGACTCGTCAGAAAAGACAACGATACAGCAAGCATCCTTGCACTAGCAAGTGCTCTGGTTACAAAATTATGTAGCTTCAATTGTTGGACCACAACCATCTTGTAGGGGTCGATTTTTTAAGTGGTACGTTTCGAGACGCCCAGAGCAAGAGTCTGTTTTCGAACTGAACGCCTGGGAGATTGTTGAAGTGCAGCTTAGCCTTTCTTGATGTTTTCTGGGATAGTGACGGCAATCTGAGGCCTCCTTCCTACCTTGGACACATTTCCGGTATCCTGGAACGCATTAACTTACGCAAGAATTTGATTTCGATAGGGAATTCGGCACCGGGGAACTATATTAAACATTTAAACATTTTTTTTAATAGTCGAGACTACATTTTGAAGTGAACTTAAATTTGTTCAGTGTAGTATGTTTCAAAGTATCTAAAAGCTTTTTGGATTATGATTATTCTGCTTTTACTATATAGCCCAATCGGATTAGGTGAAGAACAGGCTTGAGATTCTGAAAAATTCGAAGCAGCAATTTTCCTTCGGAATTCGTTGGAGGGGGTCTGTGGTAGTCTAAATTCAAAAAGTTGGGATTCCAAAGTTGTCGTTACCTCCGCCAGCTTGATTTAAAGGGTTATTTTTTGTATCTTGAATAACTCATTTATTTTCAATTTTACACGGAAAATAGTTCTTACAAAAGTTATTTAAAATTAAATTTCCTACAATTCTGCTTTTTTTTTGTACGATCCATTTTTTTCGATTTATACCCGAAAAGAGGGGGTGAATTTTTGGTTATAGAATAACTCGTTTATTTTCAATTTTACGAGAAAAATTGTTATAAACAAGGTTGTTTAAAATTAAATTTCCTACAATTCTATTTTTTTCGTACGCTCGATTTTTTTGTATTTATCCCTGAGAAGAGTGGGGGTACACTCTTATCATTGTATTATCACGTTTCTTTTTAATTCCAGGTATCAGCAAAAAAAAAACAGAAAAAATAATGGTACAACATCAATAATAAACGTGACAATACAATACTTAGGTTCACCCCCACTCTTCTCAGGGATAAATACAAAAAAATCGATCGTACAAAAAAAAACAGAATTGTAGGAAATTTAATTTTAAACAACTTTGTTTATAACAATTTTTCTCGTAAAATTGAAAATAAACGAGTTATTCTATAACCAAAAATTCACCCCCTCTTTTCGGGTATAAATCGAAAAAAATCGATCGTACAAAAAAAAGCAGAATTGTAGGAAATTTAATTTTAAACAACTTTGTTTATAACAATTTTTCTCGTAAAATTGAAAATAAACGAGTTATTCTATAACCAAAAATTCACCCCCTCTTTTCGGGTATAAATCGAAAAAAATCGATTGTACAAAAAAAAAGCAGAATTGTAGGAAATTTAATTTTAAACAACTTTGTTTATAACAATTTTTCTCGTAAAATTGAAAATAAACGAGTTATTCTATAACCAAAAATTCACCCCCTCTTTTCGGGTATAAATCGAAAAAAATCGATTGTACAAAAAAAAGCAGAATTGTAGGAAATTTAATTTTAAACAACTTTGTTTATAACAATTTTTCTCGTAAAATTGAAAATAAACGAGTTATTCTATAACCAAAAATTCACCCCCTCTTTTCGGGTATAAATCGAAAAAAATCGATCGTACAAAAAAAAGCAGAATTGTAGGAAATTTAATTTTAAACAACATTGTTTATAACAATTTTTCTCGTAAAATTGAAAATAAACGAGTTATTCTATAACCAAAAATTCACCCCCTCTTTTCGGGTATAAATCGAAAAAAATCGATTGTACAAAAAAAGCAGAATTGTAGGAAATTTAATTTTAAACAACTTTGTTTATAACAATTTTTCTCGTAAAATTGAAAATAAACGAGTTATTCTATAACCAAAAATTCACCCCCTCTTTTCGGGTATAAATCGAAAAAAATCGATCGTACAAAAAAAAAGCAGAATTGTAGGAAATTTAATTTTAAATAACTTTTGTAAAAACTATTTTCCGTGTAAAATTGAAAATAAATGAGTTATTCAAGATACAAAAAATAACCTTTAAATCAAGATGGCGGAGGTAACGACAACTTTGGAATCCCAACTTTTTGAATTTAGACTACCAGAGACCCCCTTCAACGAATTCCGAAGGAAAATTGCTGCTTCGAATTTTTCAGAATCTAAAATACTAATCCGATTGGACTAATAGGTCTGTTTAAACAACGATCTTAATACCGGGATTCTACATAGTAGATTATTGGGACCACCAAATTATTGTTGTTGGAACAAACCTAATAGTTTAGTTAGTTTCGCGTGACCCTCTACATCAAATAAGTAGTATAATGATTTAATATATTATATTTACCTTCATTGCAAAGCATCCCTCCCCATCCTTTCTTACAATTGCACTCCCACGGTCTTCTACAGGTACCATTTTCACATCCAGGATAGGGATAGCACTTCTCGCAGTTTGAACCCCACCAACCTACTTTACACCTAAAAAATAATAATAAGTTATTAAAATATGTTCATATTAAAATATATTTAATGGTACAATACAAGAAGATACAATACAATGAGATAACACAATGTTCATCAAAAAGACTATATATGATTTTTTGTAGTTGCCAACCTCACCAAGAGATGCTTCTCTTATTTTACCTAATGTTAGTGGTAAATTCATCTTCATCTTCGGGAAATCGTAGAGGATATGCTTGATAGTTTCAATTTCTATTTCATACCCGTGAATAGTACGAAGTCTGATATATCCATATACTAATAAGATGCTCCTGTACAATGGCCAGTCAGACTATCTATAACTAGGCAAAGGTTCTTACTAGCCATAGTCAAGCATTTATTTCCTGTTGTGTTGTGTAACTAAAAACTTTCTAGCAACTCTGCAGCATCCTATTTTTTCTTAAATTTTACTAGGGATTTTTTTTTTAAATTAGATATCTTACAAAATGGAAGGATCAGATACAACAACTATTTGATTGACTATCTTCTTGGTCAGTGATTTAGCAATACGCTTATCTTTCAACATAGTGTGATCTATGATCAATTCATGGATATTTCTACCTAAATTTAGTGATATTACGATACTAATCTTAAACAATTTGTGGTCTTGTTAGGTTAAATCATATTTCTCTGCTATATAAAGATAGTATTTCTATTAATTTCCTTTAGTGCTATGAGCTCAATTTAAACAACACTAACATTATTGAACTACACCCATTTTATGTCTAGGTTTAAGACTCTGGAGTAAATTTCACACCCTGATACTTGTTTTGTTTTAGAATCATTTAATTACTTGTTAATGAAAGGGATCAAAGCTCTTACTCGGAAATTATTAGTCTCAGCCTTAGTCTGACTAAACACTTATCTGAAGGAGACCTCGTTAATGAAACAAACTGTTGGCGATATAGATACAGATTTTGGAATAACGTGAATTGGTCTTAAAGCTCTATATAATCTTCAAAAATGCAGATAAACATGCACAATGTACATCTTTAGAACATCTAATGAAGTTTAGATACAAAACTAAAGATGTTAGCTTCAAACAGCTTTTGACTAGCATTTAGTATTTAATATTATACCTGCATTCTCCTGGTTTCATGCAATAGCCTCTTTCTTTGTGACATGTACTTGAACATATTGCTGAAAAAGAAAGAAAGTATTTTAAAATGCGTCATAATAAGAAGTAAAAGAATTAATTAAAGCCTAATATCTACAATTCAGGGCTTCCTGTTTCAAATTGAGGCTCCTCATAGCTTATAAAGACCTCCAAGCGTCTCCAGGGTATAATTTGGGTTAAGAGATTAAGGGATAAAGGGATATATAGATTAATTTGTGAATCAGCGTAAGCTAAACTTCACCTTTTTTACTTATACGTTTAAACTTATACTGAAACTTGATTTATTAATATTATTATTAGTGTTAAAGGGTTAAGGGATTACGGGATTGACAATTTTAGGGATTATATAGATTAACCCTTACCCATTTGCCTACAAACGTTATTTAAAACGAAGATAAAAAAGCCTGTTTCCCCTTTAATCATTTAATCCCCCCTACATGACAGCCTACTCTCAAATTTTTTTTAAATAGCAAAACGATTCGTGTGGTATTTTTTTGAAAGGACTTAATTACGTTATATATTTTAATTTGTAACAAGAATTTATTGTTACCATTGTTATATATAATAAATAAAGCTGTGCATGAAGTCAAAATATTCCTTTTTAGATCTTTAATACCCTATTTTATCCTAAAAAAGTTTTAAAAAATTTAAAATAGAGTCGAAGGGAATCGTATTTAATCCAAACAGGTATCTCTTGATGTAAATAATGTAAAGCAGTGGTCGCCAACCTCTCAATGTGTTGAGCTACTTTGTTAATTTTGGAATAAACAGCGAGCTACCCACACGGAAGCCACGTAACGCAACGTAAATGAAATAATCCACAGTTAATTTATCATTATATGTATTTATTTTACTATTTAACTGGTAATACATAATACATAGGTACTAATAATAAACTAATAACAAAATAACTAATATTACTAGTACGTACTTGTTCATAGCTACATTCCTACCTACCAAACGAAGGTGTTTGAAAAATAAACACAAACTTTTATCCAGCCACAACAACATGCCACGTAAGATTTAAAAATAGTTAATAATAACAAAAAAGTAATGCACTATCATGAACATGAACATTGAAAAATAAAAAAGCACGTTCAATGAGAAGGCTGACACTCAGACTCATCGATAATTTTTTTAATGTTTGCAGAATAATTTGATGGAGCCATTCGAATACAATTATTCAAATGTTCATCTGTAAGTCGATTGCGATATTTGTTCTTAATAAACTTCATATTGGGAAAAGAAAATTCACACAAATAGGTTGAACTAAATAATGCTTTCACTTTCAAGGCAACACGGCATAGAACTGAATATTTGTCTTTACTTACAATAGGTCAGATACATTTGGTACTTGAGACTAACGATTTTAAGGCTAAATCATTTTGAAACTCAATTACTTCCATTTCTGTTGCAGCGATGTCTTCGCCAAAGTTCTGCATAACATAAGTTGCAAACTGTTGGATATCAATTTCCATAAAGGGTGAAACAACAAACTGCGCTACTAAAGCCATTTCGTTGAAATCCTTAAAACGATTTTTGAAGTTATTCTTCAGGGTAGAAACTATTTCTACATGATATTTGCTGTCATAGGGTTCTAATGGATTTTGAGATATTTTTGTTGTAAGAATAGGAAAATGCTTGGCATCGCTGTTAATTAGGTTTTGTTCCCAAAACTCCAGCTTTTTGATAAATACTTTTATATCAGAAATCATTTCCGCTAGTTCTTTGTCTCTAATCTTGTTCACACTTTTTACCACCAGTTTCATAACGTTGTTTAGTTTCAGGAAATTTCCACATAATGCTTGCTGATGGATAATGCAGTGATAACAGAGAAATTGCGGAAAAGTTTTATCTTTACGACATAACGCCACCAGACCCTTATCACAACCCACCATAGCTGGAGCGCCATCGGTTGTCAAGCCTACCATTTTCGATATTGGAATTTTCTCGGAAGAAATAATATTTTTTAACTGAGAAAACAACTCCTGTCCAGTAGTGTATCCTTTCAGTGGAATAAACTTCAAAAGATCTTCTTAAATCGTAAAATCACTAAAAATCATCCTGACGAACACGGCCATCTGGGCAATGTCAACGACATCTGTTGATTCATCCAGTTGAAGTGAAAAATAAACAGTCAGTTCCTAACTGTAAAAAAATATCATTGCTCATTACTTCTATACGTCTCATCACTGTATTAGCAGAAAGTTGCATAGATTTTATAGCTGAAACTATCTCGTCTTTATTTCTAAAGTTGGCAAATAAGGAATCAGCAGCTTCTAAAAACGCCTGTTTTATCATTTCCCCGTCTTCATAAGGTTTCTTTTTTTGTGCAATTATCTGGGACACACGGTACGATGCTTCAGTTGCAGCCTTATTTTTGTCGATTGTTCTTAAAAATATTGATTGTTGTTCAATTAACTGCTTTTTTAACTGTTTCAGTTTCTCCTTTCTGGCGGCAGAATGTAGTGGGAATGATTTTTAAAAATTAGAATATACAGTTTTATGATGTCTCTCAATATTTCCTTTTTTAGCAACGGAGACCGAAATATTACATAACAAACATACATTTTTATCTTTAACTTCTGTAAAAAAGTATTGTTCTTCCCATTCCGAATGAAAGTGGTATGTCTTTACCTTCTTACAACTGCTTGCCATAATATTATTTTTCGTTGTTCTCTACTAACCCAACCGCTGGACGTTGGTTACGCGTTCAGTTTTAAACTAAGCGCAATGTCGCCGCGCCGTGCGTATTTATCCCGTTCAAAGCAATCCTCATGGTTCTCGAACACTAACGTGCTGGTCCGGCTGGTCGGTTCTAGCCAAATCTAGCTTGATGGGGTCAGTGGCAGATCGCTCACCGTAACGTTGCCGCTGTTTACGTTTAATATTATGACAATTAGATTTTTTTGTTGAATTTTCGGAAGCTTCTCTGATTTTTGCAGTTTGTATTTTTTAAATTAAAATCATTGTGGGAGCTACCAGAATTGCCTCTGCGAGCTACCGGTAGCTCGCGATCGACAGGTTGGCGACCACTGATGTAAAGCGTCCTTCTGGTTTGTATAACTGGACCAATAAACGGTGTAAAAGAGTTTTCTCGATTTTCCGCTTGATCCGACCCGAATTGCCACTTCGTCTTCGTTCGGTGTTCTACGTCACGTTCGTAAAATAAAGTGCTTAGAAGTTCAATATTTTTACAATTTCTGTATCGAGGGAAATTTTGGGTAAATACTTTACGAATTTTTCAGTTTTATGTTGAGTTAATACAATTTGTTTAAATATTGTTCCTAAACCATAAATTTCTTAAGATAACAATATTATTGATAAGAAAAGCATTCAAATTAGATACAATAAACATTAAATATATCACGTATCATTATCATATAATTAATAAAGAGCTTCAGTGGAAGATACCGGAAAAATTCCAGGGGTCAACGTTGGTAACAGACTCTCTAATCATCATGGAAGGGGATCTTAGTCACAGTATCGTTAAATTAAATCAAATAAATTAAAGAAAATAAAGAGCTCAATCAAATATAAATAAATCTAGGATTGCTCCATAAAGCCCTGGAATTTTTTAAATTGCAACCTCTTGATTTTCCTGAAACATTTTCCCAGATCCACACCCGGAACATATTTATATAAGAAATTACTTTTGTCCTAAATATGGACATGTTCTCTTTTATTAAATATCAGGATTTAATAGAAAAATAAATAAATATGATTTAAAATATTTATTGATTAAACAAGAATTGAGCATATATTTTGTTTTTAAACACATGTGTTGTCAAGTAAATATTGTAAATGAACAGTGTATATAGGTATACATAATTGGAAAATTACAAGATAAAAAAATCTATTTTTCTTATAAAAATTGCATAAACCTACCGATCCTAACCACTCTATAACAACGTAAAAACTTTCCAATGCAATAATTTCTTATACATTTTTCATGGAAATAATTGATTTCGGACGAAATATATGGTTTTATTGGAGCACTTAGTTCGCTTAGTCATCAAATTTTTCTTCGGAAAAATTGATTTTATTCATTTTTATACAACACGAGACAAATAATACATACCATATTAAAAGTAATAAACTAAAAACTGTTTCAAGCAACTAACAGAGCTAGAATTAGAGATTAAAAATGAAAAATGGCAAGTTTTTTGATAAAAAAAGTATGTAAAACGTGTAGAAAGAATGCTAAACCGTTTGGGATTTTGTCAAAGATAATCATTTTATTAAAAAACTGAGATGCAGAAAGTTGCATCACCTGATTTTATACGTGTAAAAGGAATATGTGGTATGTGGTATGTTTTTGTAAAAACTTTTTACAGACACCCTGTATATAAAAAAAATCATTGTTTTAATCCTAGATAGAGCATGATTTAACAAATCCTTTACTGTCTTCACCCAAAGAAATTTTGAAAAAGTAAACAGCAAATTATTTATAGATAATTTAAAAAATGAACATCACCTTTTTCAAGGGGAATATTATCCACTGATATTGGAATTATTATTAATAAAAATTTAAATAATCTACTTTTTTTACATAATTGTAATTTGTTTTGCCCATCTTAACCCGTTTACAGATCTGGTACAATCTGGTAAATCAAAATGAGAAACACATTTTTATTAAAAAAAAAAAAAAATGGGTACTTACGTTTTTGACAAAGAATCCCGGTGTATCCAGGAAAACATTTGCATTCCAGCGGTTTATCGCAGTAGCCGTGAACGCATCCAGGCAAAACTTGGCATTCCTGGCAAGTTTTTCCTGCCCATCCTAACCGACATCTACAATCGCCTGGAACATCGCAATATCCTCTGGTGGTGTGGCAATCGTTTCGACATATTGCTGAAAACGATGTTGATGAAAGTAAATATGTTAAAAATAAAAGTTTAACAATATGGTGAAGTTGAAATGGTTTATAATTCATTAAGTGATTATCTGCAAGATTTAAAACAAAAATTACGTTTTAGTAATCGTATATCACCCGAGATCAATATTGATGGAAGGGTTCCTCAGGGAAGTATCATAAAGCCACTGAAGTTTCTACTATAATTGAATGATATTGAGGTATTTGTAGATTGTTAATTAATATATTTGCTGTTGATACTTTGCTGGCATGTTCTGCAAAAAGTCGGTCCATATTATCCACTTACAAATTAAAATTAAATGTTATTTATTAAAAAGTTTTAGTTTTAGTTCTTACAAGTAAACATAAATATAACTTCAATATATTTAGGTTTTGAATTAGATACTTTGTTTACATTGTACAAGAATTGCGAATAATTTGTGAACTGTAGTTAAAAAAACAGTACGTTCTCTACAGTACTACAATAAGTAATCACACAAAAATTTATTGACCTGCTAACACGGCCATGCTGATCTATATTTCTCTTTCGAAAAACTGGTTATTAATTTGCATTATTTTAATTAATAAAAATATTAAACAAAAAGTAAAGATCTATCAAATAAAAATAACAAAATTACAAGATCAGTCGCCAAATTTTTTCTACGCCAATTATTTCGAAAAGTTTCCTGCTCATCCTCTCTAATTCAACAAGCTGCGTTTGCTCGTCACTTTCTGAGACGAACATTTTCAAATAAGTTACCTAAAACTACATGTCTTATTATTTCTAACACTTTATTCAAGATGTTAAAATAATTTAAAACACAATCTGCTCTTCGGATATCAACAGTATCCGTCCGACATTTTTCAATTAATATGTTTATTATAATTTTAAAATTAAAGCTGTACTCCTCGGATTTCAACAATTCCGACCAGTATTTTCAATTTGTATGTTTTTTAAATTATTTAAAATAAAAGCTTTAATATATTAAGGTTCAAAGGTACTCCTTTTCAAATATATAAATGTACTTAACTTTGTTACTAAATAAAAACAGTAGAGAAGTTCAGAGGTACTCCTCAGGATTGACCTGATCTGTACTTGACTTTCTGGTGACATGAATACAACGTTAAGGCCAAAGGTACTCCTCTGGGATTAACCTGAAATGTACTTGCCTTTCTGGTAACATGAATACAACGTTAAGTTCAGAGGTACTTTTCAAGGATTAACCTGACTTGTACTTAACTTTCTGGATGGTAGAATTAACAGTTAATTGTGATTTGGAAAGAGCGCTCGTCCATTCTGACAAATTTGAACTTCAACAGTTAATAAATTAATTATTGTTACAACATACCTTTCAAGTTGTCCAGTAGCGTCTCTGCTATAATTTAATGACGCTTAATAAATATATTTACAAATAAAGATTTATTTATCGGTAAAATTTGTTCCACGGTTAATTATAATACGTGCTGGCGTACCAAACATCGTTTTATAATTCTCTAATGTTTTAGTCATTTCTGCTCTGGTTAATGTTTTTTGAAGGGTATAGAATAGTGGTCGCTAAACTCTCAATGTGTTGAGCTCCTTTGTTAATTTTGGAATAAACAGCGAGCTACCCACACGGAAGCCACGTAACGCAACGTAAATGAAATAATCCACAGTTAATTTATAATTTTATGTATTTAATTTACTATTTAACTGGTAATACATAATACATAGGTACTAATAATAAACTAATAACAAAATAACTAAAATTACTAGTACGTACTTGTTCATAGCTACATTCCTACCTACCAAACGAAGATGTTTTAAAAATAAACACAAACTTTTATCCAGCCACAATGGCATGTCACGTAAGATTTAAAAATAGTTAATAATAACAACAAAAAAGTAACGCACTATCATGAACATGAACATTAAAAAATAAAACAGCACGTTCAATGAGAAGGCTGACACTCAGACTCATCGATAATTTTTTTAATGTTTGCAGTATAATTTGATACAGCCATTCGAATACAATTATCCAAATGTTCATCTGTAAGTCGATTGAGATATTTGTTCTTAATAAACTTCATATTGGAAAAAGAAGATTCACACAAATAGGTTGAACTGAATAATGCTTTCACTTTTAAGGCAACACTGCATAGAACTGAATATTTGTCTTTACTTACAATAGGCCAGATACATTTGGTACTTGAGACTAACGATTTTAAGTCTAAATCATTTTGAAACTCAATTACTTCCATTTCTGTTGCCGCGATATCTTCGCCAAAGTTCTGCATAACACAGGTTGCAAACTGTTGGATATCAATTTCTATAAAGGGCGAAACAACAAACTGTGCTACCAAAGCCATTTCGTTGAAATCCTTAAAACGATTTTTGAAGTTATTCTTCAGGGTAGAAACTATTTCTACATGATATTTGCTGTCATAGGGTTCTAATGGATTTTGAAATATTTTTTCTGTAAGAATAGGAAAATGCTTGGCATCGCTGGTAATTAAATTTTGTTCCAAAAACTCCAGCTTTTTGATAAATGCTTTTATATCAGAAATCATTTCAGCTAGTTCTTTGTATCTCCCCTGAAGCTGCAAATTAAGTTTGTTTAATTTCTCTGTAATGTCCACGAGAAAACCAAAATCTCTAAGCCAGATTGAATTTTCTGGTTCCTGAGTCGGTTCATCGCGTTGTTTGAAAAATTGAACTATGCCAGATAGGACATCATTAAAACGTTTCAGCACCCGTCCTCTACTTAACCATCGGACTTCAGAGTGAAGGAGTAGGTCCCCGTATTGACAGTCAACTTCATCGGCCAAGGTTTTGAATAATCTTCTATGTAACGCTTGAGCTCTAATCTTGTTCACAATTTTTACCACCAGTTTCATAACGTTGTTTAGTTTCAGGAAATTTTCACATAATGCTTGCTGATGAATAATGCAGTGGTAACAGAGAAATTGCGGGAAAGTTTCATCTTTACGACATAACGCCACCAGACCCTTATCACAACCAACCATAGCTGGAGCGCCATCGGTCGTCAAGCCTACCATATTCGATATTGGAATTTTCTCGGAAGAAATAATATTTTTTAAATGAGAAAACAACTAATGTCCAGTAGTGTGTCCTTTCAGTGGAATAAACTTCAAAAGATCTTCTTTAATCGTAAAATTACTAAAAACCATCCTGACGAACACGGCCATCTGGGCAGTGTCAACGACATCTGTTGATTCATCCAGTTGAAGTTAAAAATAAACACAGTTATCTAAGTCAGTTCTTAACTGTAAAAAAATATCATTGCTCATTACTTCTACACGTCTCATCACTGTATTAGCAGAAAGTTGCATAGATTTTATAGCTAAAACTATCTCGTCTTTATTTCTAAAGTTGGCAAGTAACGAATCAGCAGCTTCTAAAAACGCCTGTTTTATCATTTCCCCGTCTTCATAAGGTTTCTTTTTTTGTGCAATTATCTGGAACACACAGTACGATGCTTCAGTTGCAGCCTTATTTTTGTCGACTGTTCTTAAAAATATTGATTGTTGTTCAATTAACTGCTTTTTTAACCGTTTCAATTTCTCCTTTCTGACGGCAGGATGTAGTGGGAATGATTTTTAAAAATTAGAATGTACAGTTTTATGATGTCTCTCAATATTTCCTTTTTTAGCAACGGAGTCCGAAGTATTACATAACAAACACACATTTTTATCTTTAACTTCTGTAAAAAAGTATTGTTCTTCCCATTCCGAATGAAAGTGGTATGTCTTTACCTTCTTACAACTGCTTGCTATAATATTATTTTTTGTTATTCTCTACTAACCCAACCGCTGAACGTTGGTTACGCGTTCAGTTTTAAACTAAGCGCAATGTCGTCGCTTCGTGCGTATTTATCCCGTTCAAAGCAATCCTGATCGTTCTCGAACACTAACGCGCTGGTCCGGCTGGTCGGTTCTAGCCGATACTAGCTTGATGGCGTCAGCGGCAGATCGCTCACCGCAACGTTGCCGCTGTTTATGTTTAATATTATGCCAATTAGATTATTTTGTGAAATTTTCGGAAGCTTCTCTAATTTTTGCAGTTTGTATTTTTTAAATTAAAATCGTTGTGAGAGCTACCAGAATTGCCTCCGCGAGCTACCGGTAGCTCGCGATCGATAGTTTGGCGACCACTGGTATAGAATTACATATTTTGAAAAAGCATTGATGATAAATAAAGCGTGTTTAAAAACATCTGCGGTTATTTGATATTTTAAACTACGGACCAACACAATCAATACGAATTATTTGAAATGCAATATTTATTTTTAAGCAAGCAAGTAGATATAATGATATAATTTCCCAAATCTTTCCTCTTTTCGTTTTTGACAAACAGTACGTATGATAATTAATAATTTGGTCAATGGATAGCTTTATTTTTAATACAGAAAAATAAATAAAAAATAAATAAATAAGGTAAATAATTTAAATAAACTAGCAAGCGCATGCACAACCCTTAGGTTTTATGGGTCACGTGTGTTTATTTACAACATTTATAATTTTTGTTTTAGGGCATGACTTGTTTTTTGTTTCTGTTTTTTTTTGTTTTTTTGTTTTTTTTTTGTTTTTCTTTGTTGTTTTTTTGTTTTTAGCAACGGGTTAAAAATGAAAAAGAAGGGAAAGAGGAAAACAGAAAAAAGTTTAGATATAAGTAGTCACTTAAACATGTAGAAGAAGAAAAAAAACTGTAATAGCATGTTAACTGTAAATAAACATGATTATTAATATTATTATTATTAATATTATTTATTGTTGAATAGTTATTTTCAAACTTAAAAAAATTTAACAATAAATGTTTTTCTGCGCTTTGTTTTTCTAAGCTTTTCTCAGCCGGTTATTGAAAGAGAATACAAATTCCTTTTAATGAAGAAAACATTTTTTTTCTCATCGAATTTCTACAAAAATTCAAAATTAAACGACTGCAAATAAAGACACTATCTGTTCAAAATAGCATATACGCCCACTGCATAAAAAAAAA